AAAACATTTTAAGATGAAAATACCCTGGAGAGGCCAGCGCTGTGGCTCAGTGGGTTAAAGCCCTAGCCTTCAGTGTCAGCATCCCATATAGGTGCCGATTTGAGTCCTTGCTGCTCCACTTCCAATCCAGCGCCCTGCTGATGCTCCTGGGAAAGCAGCAGAAGATGACCCAAGTGCTTGGGCCCCTGCACTTATGTGGGAGACCTGGAAGAAGCTCCTGGCTCCTGGTTTCAGCCTGTCCCAGCTCCAGTCATTGCAGCCATCTGGGGAGTGAACCAGCGGAATGGAAGCCCTTTCTCTCTCTCTCTCTCTCTCTCTCTCTCTCTCTCTCTCTCTGACTCTACCTCTCTCTTTCAAATAAATAAAATAAATCTTTGGAAGAAAGAAAGAGAGAGAGAATAACCATAGGATAAAAGGATGATGTGGCTAAGGCAGAATGCAGTGCAGAGGGGAGTGTGTGTGCACACAGGTGCTGGGAGGAGGTGACGAGCTGGGAAAAGGCTGCCCTGGTCTCCCTGGGGATACCCAGCCAGGCCTGTGGCTCTGCAAGAACTGGCGTGGGGCAGTAGGCAGTCCTCTCCTTACGGCCCCAGTGCAGGGGGCCCCCTCTCTGCAGCACATTCAAAACATCCAGGAACTTCCACAAAGTCTCCAGTGCCTGGCCCATGAGACCAGAGGCCGTGGGGTGGGATCTTGCACACCCCCCACGTCATCCCGTGTAACCGGGGCAGCTCGACGCCTATCAGGAGGAAGAGGCAGGACGGGAAGGCTCAAGCTGTCCAATCCACCTGTGCTGCCTCCCTGGGGACCTGCTTCCCACTCTCAGTGACTGAAGTTCTACGTTCCGAAATGCCTGGCCGATGCAACAAAGCACTGCCGCTCAAGTTCACGGGTTGGGCTGCGAGCGATCTGTGTCCAAACACACATGTTGCAGGCCTGGCCTCCAAGACCCTACCCTGTGACCTCCACAGTGTGTTTGAAGGTGGGGGTGATTGAGTCAAAATGAGATCGTTAGAGCGGGCTCTAGAGCAAGAGGATGCTGTCCTTTTTGAGAGGCGACTGGACGCAGTGTGTCTGCAGGAGGAAGACCCCGTGGAGACGCAGAGCGAGGAGGGCCTCTGTGAGCCCACCAGGGAGACCACAGAAGGATCGATCTGCTCTTGGACTTGCAGCCTCCCCATCTGTGAGAACAGACTTTTCTGTGGTGCCTTTGTTGTGGCAGCCGGAGCTCGTGAGCACAGTCCAACACCGCGAACCACGTGTTGCTGGCGCGCGGCTGCCGATGGCACTAGTAGAATCCCGGGCCACCTGTGTCACACAGCGACTTTTCTTTGAGATCTGGGGACATTTGGGAGGAGAAGAAGGACCTTGAAGGCTGCCCCCAACCTCCCCTCCGCTTCCCTCATTCACACTTTGAGTCCCAGGGCAAAACCAAACGTGTAAACACACGGTCAATACCACTTTGTCCAAGTGGCAGGGGTGCCCCAGGAGTTCCAGTGGGAACGAGAACCATTTTCCACTCTTTCCTTCCTCTCTCCCCACTCCTACGCATAAGCCTGTCCATCACTTTGAATTTCTTTGAGAAATGAGAAAGTAAAAGAACAGGAGAGAAAGAGAAGCAGAGAAAGGGAGACCCAGCCTGCCCTTGGCCGAGAACCAACACAGTCAAACCATCAAAAACCAAGTCCTGAGGGGCCGTGCCAGAGACACACTGGACACCACGCTTGAAGGCAGAGCAAAATGGAGACGATCCCTTGGTCACCATGGCTAGAACCAGAAAGAGCACCCCTCCCTCCTCTCACCTCTCATCTGCCCTCCAGCTCTCCGGACAAAGAGGATGCTAAGGATGACATGACACTTTTATTGTTGTCACTTTTTTTAAAAAAAAGATCAGCGATCAATTTGGACCTCTCGGGCCAAATGCTGAAATTGGGAATGCAGTCAAAAGAACAGAGCTCCGTCCCAAAGAGGGAGATGGACGGGAGCCAAGCACATTTTGAGTGTAGGATTAAGGATCAGAGACACTAATTTTGCGTGAACTGCTCTTGCCTTCACCGGGATGTATTTTTAATGCAGTGATGATAGCCTTCCAGTGGCCACTGGCAAACTCTCAACATCTTTGTGGAGGAGAGAGAAGAGGGTGTTTAAGGGCCTATTTCCTAGCAGGCTTGGGGGTGATTAGCACAAGTCACGAGCACGTGGGGGGAGGGGGAGGCCACCATGCCGCTTCTGGGTTATTAAGAGTGAGATCCGATGCTGGAATCCCTAGGGCAAAAAAATCAATGACCCAGGAAAACGACACCAGCTGACAGCCCCAGGGAAAGGCTTAAGTTACTTTCCAAAACTCTGCCCCGTCCCGGTACTGGACAGATAATGGCTGGGACCCTGGCATTCTGCCGCTTTGTTTTACAGGATCTACCATCCCGGTCCTCCTTTGCAAGGGCAAAGGGGTCCCAAGCTGGCTCCATTCTCTGCCAGTTTTTGCTGTGTTCCTCTTATTTAGAAATCAAGCAGGTATCTGCTTTGCTGAGCGCTGCTGTCTAGCCCTCAGCTACTGCTGTAAGGCTGGTGGGGGAGGGGTCTGCTATCTCTTTATGGACCTGTGCTTGGTGTGTATACACTCCTCCAAGAAGGAGGAGCCTTCTTGTCCCCAGATAAACAGGCAGCCAGCTTTGAGGCCATGGGAGCTCGGAGCAATGTGATCAGGATCCACTGCTTCACCAAAACATTCGCCCAAACATCTTTAAAGCTTGGGACTTAACCCTTTCAGCTGTTCATCACGTAGCTGGGGGCCCCTAAGAGTCGTTAAGTCTTCATTCCAATCAGCCAACTTTGGGAGGCTTCTCTTTCTCTTTCTCCCCTCACCCCACGCTCTAGTAGAATGTAGGTTTCAGCCCGAGTGTGCCTGAGGTTTGGGAGAACACTTATGTTTCTTTCCTTCTCCCAAAAAGGCTCCCTGCTAACTCTCTCCTTGGAGGACATTGATCAGAGGAAAAATGGGGCCGGGCTGTGGGTGGATCTGACATCCTCACCAACTACTGCTTTCGCAGGGGCATTTTAGAAGCTAGACCGGCAGGCTGGCGCTGTGGTGTAGTGGGTTGTCTTCACCTGTGGCACCACCATCCCATATGGGTACTGGTTTGAGTCCTGGCTGCCCCACTTCTGATTCAGCTTCCTGCTGATGGCCTGGGAAAGCACTGGAAGTTGGCTCAAGTGCCTGGGCCCCTGCACCCACATGGGAAACCCGGAAGAAGCTCCTGGGTCCTGAAAATTGGGGAGTGAACCAGCGGAGGGAAGACTTCTCTCTGTCTCTCCCATTCTCTGTAACTCTGCTTCTCGAATAAATGAATACATCTTAAAAAAAAAAAAAAAGCTGGAGGTCACTTCCATGGGGAAAGCAGAAGGAAATGTCTTCTATCATTCATATGACTTAGACCTCTGTCAAAGCATGGGTCCCCCTCAGGAATGTGGGTGGTGACCTGCACAGTGTTAGAATATTGGGACTGCTTCCCTAGAGAAACAAACTCGTCTATAATCTGTGAAAACAACCTGATGGTTACATCGCAGTTGGCCTAAAGCAATATTTGTTCAGTTGCAGTGGTGTCACTGGGCTCGTCGGATTCCAGTTCTTTCTTACATTAGTCAGAGCTAGGTGATGGCTCAGCCCAGCACTGCTCTCCACCGCTCAGATCAGCAAACACAGAGCTTTTCTCGCAGCCAAGCAAGTTCTGTTAGGAACAAAAATAAGTCAATAGCATCTGAAAGGGGAGACGCGTTTCACCCAGCATTCTTACCACAAAGGCTTGATCTTGCGGTGCTGGATTTTAAGGGCTGAGGTTTGCTTGCCAAATAGGCATATCTTGGCTTCCTTCACTAGGCAGGATCCCTGCCTTGATATTAAATATTCAAAGCAAAGCACCTCTGACCTAAGGCTCTCGGCTAACAATGACATTCTCTGTAAGTGAACCAGAAGCCCAGCTCAGCTTCCAGCTGGCCAGTGTTCCTCGCCGCGTACTAGTCTCCAGCACCAACAGCACCCACCAGGCGCTCACTTCATTTACCAGAGTATCTTGCAAAAGATGCTGCGTGGCCAGTACCTGCAGGACATATGCAAAGTCTGGAAGATTCCTGGGGAAGGAGAAGTGGGGTGGGGGGCGTCTCGGCTGGGCTGGGCTGGGCTGGGCTGGGCTGGGCTGGGGCAGGGTGCAGGCCTTGCCAGAGAGAGAGAAAGAGGGGAGAGAGAGAGAGCTGTTACAGTTGCAAGGACAATTGTACCAGAAGCAAGTGCAACCACTAAGCATCAGCACGTGCTCCCGTGGCCATGGCCAACCCTGAAACTCCTTTCTTTTAGCACAGTCACCTCTGTAACCCCAGAACAATCTGAGATCCTCTTCCAGGGCATGAGTTAGAATTCCCCCGAAAGAAAAGTCCCGTCGCTGACTCGGGAGGAGGAGGTCCTTGTTTCTTGTAAAGGGACTGGAGAGGGGGCGCTGACGCACTGCGGAGGCACGGCACGGCCCTGGGTGAGTGGCGTGGGCTGCTCCACCGGACACCCGGCCCCTGCGGGATCCCTCCTTCCCTCCCGGTACGGGCTTCAGACCCGGTGCGCTCCGGGCTAGTCTTCTGGCACGGATACCTGGGAGGCTGGCTGGGACGCCCCAGACTCCGCGGGTGGCAAACAGAACGCGACTCCTCCAACCACAACACGTGTACTCCAAAAAGCGGGGCGCGGTACAGAGCTCAACCTCGGGCGCCTCCAGCGAACGCGCGCGCGCGGCCAGGCCAGGTCCGCGATGTTGGGAAATTAAGGTCAGCGGCGGGGCGAGAAACCCTGACAACACCACACATGCTTCCTTGCCAAGGGCTCACATCAGGCAAGGAGACTACGAACGCGACTCAACTTTAATTCAACTTGGCCGTGGCCCTTGGGAGCCAGCAGCCAAGGGCTCCGCCGGCGCACGGCGGCGCTGGGGGCGCACGACGACAGAGCGCGCACTTACCGGAGAAGTCCGTGAGCGCTGCGATCTCTTTGGAGCACACCAGGACGGTGCAGTAGAAGAGGCGCAGGAACTGCCCCGGCGGCTCTACCTGCCTGCGGAGGCCGGGATGCTGGGCGGGCTGGGGCGCGGGCGGCGGGCGCGCGTGTCCCAGCAGGAGCATGGTGCGCGGCGGGGCGCGGGCCCGGGGCGCGCGGGGGATTGCCGGGCTCTGGGTGGCGTCACATGGCGGGGCGAGCGGATGGCTAGCGGCTCCGCGGACCCCCCCGCCGCCTCCCGGCCCAGGCTGCCCGAGTCTCCTCCCCGGCGCGGCCGGGCCCCGGCTCCCCAGCAAAGGGGAGGGGGCGGAGACCTGGGGCGGGGCGAGGAGCCCCGGGAAGGATCCGCGTAGTTTCCCCGAGAGGAAATCTCCGCTGCCGCCGCCGCACCGGAGGAAGCGAGGGGGCTGGCAGGGAAAGCGTCGCCTTCGCGAGCCCCACGACTGCCGAGGTCGGTCCCTGGCGCGCTGCCCGCCGCCGCCAAAGGCGCTCCAAATAGCGTCCCAGGGCCGGGCAACGCCAGCGCCTTCCAGGCCGGGGTCGCAGCCCCGGAGACGACCCGTCACCCCGTGCCCGGCCCGCACTGGCTGCGTGCCAGCTCACCCCGGCCGCGGGAGGAGCGCGGCCGGTGCCCGTGACGCACTTTGGAGCCAGCGCCGCGCGTGCAGTGTGGGCGCCTCCAGGGCGGGGCGGAGCGGGGCCAGCGGGAAGGTGGGGTCCTGGAGGCGTGGGGTCGCGGCGCCGCCACCCCGCTCCCGCCGGGCGGGGTGCCGGAGCGCGCGCACTCATCCTATGTCACAGAAAGCCACCCTGAGCCCCGGCGTTTAGCCCAGGTTCGCGCAACCTGGACAGGAACGAGCCAGGGGTCTCCACGCGGGGCTGATGGCTCCCGAGCGGGTTTCCTCTCTCTCTCTAGCCTCCTTCGGGTGCTGGTTGTCCTCAGAGCTGGGAGATTTGACACCTGACCGGGCGTACACAGCCGCCTGGCGCTCATAATTGGGCTTTGTTCTTTAAAATGGGCCACAGCATCTTTCTGAACCTCTCGATTACCGCGCAGTGTGACCCACGTTTGGGCACCGAATCCCCGGGGCGAGGAGCGGGGCTGCGAGGCCTTGGCACCCGGGAGCCCATGACAAGTGTAGCGCGGGGGCCCCGCGGCCGCGCGCCCTGGGACCCCCCTTAGACCCGAACCCTGAGGCCCGGGCCGGGCCGGGCCGGGCCGGGCGGCGCCGGCGGGAGGGAGGAGGGCCCGGCGGGCGGGCGCTGGGCACAAAGTGTTCCCGAACACCGCGAAGGGCCTGCCAAGTTCGCGGCGGGTCTGACGCGGAAACGTAGATAATGAGGCCCCAGGGCGGGGCCGGGCGCGCGGCCCCGGCGGCCCCAGGGCTGCGAAGGCCCCGGCGAGGCCGCGGGAGAGCGAAAGCGGAGGCGCCGCCCGCGCCCGCGCCGGAGGTGAGCAGCCGAGCTGCGGAGGGGTGGATGCCGGCGGTGCCACTGTGTGCTCGCCTCGGGCTGGGGCCGCAGGACGCGGGGTCCCAGCCCCTTCCATCCGTCTGGGGATGAGCCGGTAAATGCTGAGCATGGGCGACCGTGGGCTGGGGACCCGGGCGCCAGGCACAGTGGTTTTGAAAATCTGTATTAACAAGACTAGCTCTTAGCGTGCGTTTTTCTAGGCTGGGGCATCTGAGCCTGGAGGAGTCAGGCGAGGATGCCCCGCACTTGGGAGCCGCTCAATAAACCATGTTTGCTCAGAAACTCGGCTCCTTTTGTATTTTCTGTCCACTCCTCCGTCCAGTTGCGGGTGACCGTTCACTGCTAGGGGTGGGGACTGCTGGTCCAGGGAGGGGCCCCGCTCCCTGAGGGCTGGGCGTCTGCGCTGGCTTCCAGATGCCAGTGGGGGAGCTGTTACTGACAGTGGGTGCACCTGTCAAGTGGCTAAGGAGCAATCCGGGGTAGGCGGTGAGGACTTAGTGATGTGCCTGAAACAAGACCTGGAACACAGCAAGTGCTGGGTCAGTGTTGGCCATTATTACAGCCGGGAAGACACACGCTGAAGCCACCATGCGCTTTTATGGGGATGTGTGACCCAAGGGGTCTTGGAGGCGAAGGAGAGTCCCGGGAGATGCTAGGGAACACGTTTTAAGGCAAGATGAGGGAGAGAGCTGGGAAGCTGGCCCAGCAAGAGCAAGCTCAAGCCAGGTGTTTGCAGGAAATGAACAATTGAGGCAAAGGGACCGGCATGTTGAAATCCATTAGGAGTGTGGCCCTGTGGGAGAACAGAGAGAAGTGTGGCATGGCTGCAGCAGACCGAGGAGCAGGGTGTTGGCCAGGCCGGAGCCCAGGTCCCTGGAGACCTTGGGGATCAGTTCCGTCTTTACCTGCAGGTGATAAATGGTTGTCAGCAGCAGTGTGACATGACTGGACGCTCTGGCTGCTGAGTGCCAATGGACCGGAGGGGTCAAAAGTAGGTTCAGGGACCGGCACTGTGGAGGAGCAGCTAAAGCTGCTGCCTGCAGAGCCAGCATCCCTTGTGGCATTGGCTCCAGTCCTGGCTGCTCCACTTCCCATCCAGCTCCCTGCTGAGGCACCTGGGAAGGCAGTAGAAGACGGCCCAAGTGCTTTGGCTCCTGCACCCATGTGGGAGACCCAGAAGAAGCTCCTGGCTCTTGGCTTTAGATCCACCCAACTCTTGCCATTTCGGCCATTTGGAGAGTGAATCAGCGGATGGAAGAAAGACCTCTTTCTCTGCCTCTCACTCTGTCACTCTGCCTTTCAAATAAATAAGTCTTTAAAGAAAAGCTATGCACACCCTTCTGTGTACTTTATCAACTCTAGATTATTCATGGTACCTAATGCAATGTAAATATTATATAAATAGTTGTTTTATTATATTGTTTAGAGACTAAGAGAAAAAAATCTTTACATGTTCAGTACAATGCAGATTTTCCCCCCAAATATATTTCAGTGGGTACGGTTCCAGATACATTTCCAGTAAATTTCAGTTTCCAATACAGATGGAAGGCCAACTGTGTAGACCTCAAGGAATTGAAAGCGGAGACTCAAGCAGATCCGTATACACTGACGTTCATGGCAGCGTTACTCACAGTAGCCAAAGGTAGAGGCAATCTCAAGTCCATCAGAGAGTGAGTGAATGGATAAACAAGAGCGTGCCCGGGGCCAGAGCTGCGATGTAGCAAGTTGCCGCCTGAAGTGCTGGCAACTCACATGGGCACCAGTTCAAGTCCCGGCTGCTCCATTTCCAATCCAGCTCTCTGCTATGGCCTGGGAAAGCAGTAGAAGATGGCCCAAGACCTTGGGACCCTGCGTCTGCATGGGAGACCCAGAAGAAGCTCCTGGATCCTGGCTTCAGATCGGTGCAGCCCTAGCCATTGTGGCCAATTGGGGAGTGAACCAGTGGATGGAAGACCTCTCTTTCTCTCTCTCTCTGCCTCACTTTCTCTCTGTATTTAACTCTGATTTTCAAATAAGTAAATAAATGTTTTTTTAAAAAGTCAATAATGTAATATATAAAAACCACTGAATTATACACTTAAGTGGATGAGTGGTATGGTATGTGAATTATGTCTCAATGAAGCTGTTAAAAAAAAATCAAACAGGCAGGCATTTGGCATGACAGTTAGCCACCTGGGACACCAGCATCCCATGTCTGAGTGCCTGGGTTCAAATCCCAGCTCTGTTCCTGATCCCAGCACACCCTGGGGGGCAGCAGATGGTGACTCAAGTACTTGGGTCCCTGCCACCCCTGTGGGAGACCCGGATTTCCATGCTTCAGTTTTGATTTGGCCCAGTCCCAGCTGCTGTGGGCATTTGGGGAGTGAACCAGCAGATGCCAGATTCTCTCTGTCTCTTTCTCTCCTCCTTTAAAATGAAATGAAATACAAAAAATTATTTAATCAAACAGCAACAGAGTGGGCCTGGGGACATTATCGGGGTGGGGGGTGGGGGGGTGGAGGCAGTCAGGAGCGGGTGGTTGTGCTCAGGGTTGGGGAGCTTCAAGCCCTGAGGGAAAGGGAAGTGGCCAAATGGGAAAGACGTTCAGAAGGGCAATGGATGGGGCCGTGTGGCCTGGTGGCTGCAGGGCAGGAGCAGGAGCCTGGGGGATGATGCCCGGCTTCCCTCTGCCTGGCCCCCCTCAGCTCCTTGCTGTTAAATCAGAAGACTTTAGTCCTCATCTGATCTATTTAAGAATTTTTTGAAGCACATGTGCTTGGCTCAGCTGCTAAGACACAGGTTGGGTCGCCCACATCTCATATCGGAACGCCTACATCAGATTCCCAGCTCTGGGTTCTGACTCCAGTCTCCTGCTGATGAAGACCCTGGCAGGCAGTGCCTGGGTTTCTGGCACTCACAAGGGAAACCTGGATTGGGTTCCCAGATTTGCTTGGGCCCAGTGGGGCCCAGTCCTAGGCAATGTGAGCATTTGGGGAGTGAACCCGTGGATGGGTGCACTCCCCTTCTGTCCCTGTCTCTCAAATAAATAAACAAAAACCTTGATAAAGATTTAGTTTGGATGCAACAAACATGCTTTGAGTGTTACACACACAATACCTTAAGAGGAATGTTGTCATCTGACACGAAAACTAACTACAGGTTGAACATTCGCAAGTGGGGAGTTTTACACCTAACCTCATGCGATAGGTTGCAGCCAAACCACAGGTGGCATATTAACAATAGTGTGTGAAATCACCATCAGCCCGTGTGTACACTTGTATGTGAAACATACATCAATTTTTTTTTTTTGACAGGCAGAGTTAGACAGTGAGAGAGACAGAGAGAAAGGTCTTCCTTCCATTGGTTCACCCCTCAAATGGCTGCTACAGCTGGTGTGCTGTGCCAATCCGAAGCCAGGACCAGGTGCTTCTCCTGGTCTCCCATGCAGGTGCAGGGCCCAAGGACCTGGGCCATCCTCCACTGCCTTCCCGGGCCACAGCAGAGAGCTGGACTGGAAGAGGAGCAACCGGGACAGAATCCGGCGCCCCAACCAGGACTAGAACCCGGGGTACCGGCGCCGCAGGTGGAGGATTAGCCAAGTGAGCAGTGGTGCCAGCACACACATCAAATTTAAAAAAATATATATATTTATTTATTTAAAGGGCAGAGTGATGGAGAGGCGACTTCCAGCTCTATCTTCCCCCTTGCTCAGTATCCTGGTTGCTTCCTTGCTCATACGGCCCAGCCTATTTTGGAAGATAATATTGTGCTTTGCACTCAAATTCCAGTCTTGAGGGGCTGGCACTGTGGCATAGTGGGCTCAGCCTCTGCCTGAGGCGCTGGGATCTCATATGGGTGCTGGTTCAAGTCCCGGCTGCTCCACTTCAGATCCAGCTCTCTGCTGTGGCCTGGGATAGCAGTGGAAGATGGCCCAAGTGCTTGGGCCCCTGCACCTGCATGGGAGACCTGGAAGAAGCTCCTGGCTCCTGGCTTCGGATCAGCGCAGCTCCGGCTGTTGCGGCCATCTGGGGAGTAAACCAGCAGATGGAAGACCTCTCTCTCTCTCTCTGCCTCTCTCTGTCTGTAACTCTACTTCTCTAATAAATAAATAAAATCTTAAAAAAAAAAAAAAGTCCAGTCTTGAGTATGTTCCTTCACCAGGACCAGCAAAGGGCAGGTTTTTGGTTTCCAACAGAAATGAGCCGAAGCCATTCTGAGCAGACGCAGCCACCACGTGTCAGCCTCCAAGAATCCAACCTGGCAGCCCAGAAGAGTGAGCCCTAGTGCTGCGCAGGACCAGCAAGGCTGGTTTTTAGGCAGTAAGTGCTGCTTTGTTTATCGAGCTGGCGCTAAGGAGACACGTCAATAGCAAAGAGTCGGTTGGTGAGGACTGACCGAGCTGTGGTGTCCTAGAAATTTGCCTGGGGAATGTCTGACCCAGAAACCCACGGGAGGAGGTTGTGAATGCTAAGTGGGCAAATGCAGGTGTTTGCAAAGAGGCTCACCTGCCCCATTGGGGTGCTCAGGGTTGGTACTTGGCTGTGCTCCTGACTCCAGCTTCCTGCTAATGCCGATCCGGGGAAGCAGCAGGGATGGATTGAGTTCCCAGCTCCTGGCTTCAGCACTCGACCCAGGGCCACTGGGTAGCAAACCAGGGAATGAGAACCCCCCCTCCCGCCTCTCAAGTTAAAAAAAAATTATGTGAGCAGCAGTCAGCTGATATCCATACCAACAGTCCATCCAAGGTCAAAAGCATCTTGTCCAATAGTGTCCACTCAAGTTCAAGTCGCCACTCAGATATCTTTGCGTCAAGTCCCA